AAGCAAGCCACAAGGGTTTAGGGTTTAGGGTTTAGGGTTTAGGGTTTAGCTTGCCTGCGCATCAGACCCCCTATGTCTGTGTCTCTCGGGGGGCCCCCTAGACTGGGGGCCCCCCATGGCATCTCCTGAGGGTTTGGGGGGCCCCCCAACTCTGTGCTGCTTCTGCCGCTTACCCTCTGGGGGCCCCTGGGGCCCCGGGGGCCCCTGGGGCCCCGGGGCCCCCGGGGGCCCCTGGGGCATGGGGGCCCCCGGGGGCCCCTGGGGCCCCGGGGGCCCCGGGGGCCCCGGGGGCCCCGGGGGCCCCTGGGGGCCCCCCTGCCTGTCTGCAGGTTCATCTCTGGGGCCCCTGCGGGACCTCCTGCGGGCTGGGGGCCCCTCCTCTGGGTCGGGGGCCCCCCTCCTGTCCCCCCCCCCCGCTGCTGCTGCTGCTGCTGCTGCTGCTGCTGCTGCTGCTGCTGCTGCTGCTGCTGCTGCGCGGCGCCTGTGGCGGTGACCCGGGGCCTCCTCCCTTTCTGCTGCTAAACCCCAAAAGTCTCCTTTTTCTCTCTTCGAGTTTTCGCCTCTTCTTTCATAACTTTCTCGCAAAGTCCCTTCGGGGCCCCAGGGGCCCCCCTCCCCGGGGGGCCCCCCATGGGGCCCCCCATGGGGCCCCCCATGGGGGCCCCCGTGGGGGGGGCCCCCGTGGGGCCCCCCGTGGGGCCCCCCGTGGGGGCCCCCGTGGGGGCCCCCGTGGGGTCCCCCGTGGGGGCCCCCGTGGGGTCCCCCGTGGGGGCCCCCGTGGGGGCCCCCGTGGGGGCCCCCATAGGTGTCCCGGTGGCGCTCTCGGGTACCCCTGTGGGGCCCCTCTCTGCTGCTTCCATGTCTTCCTTCGCGGCTGCTTTCGCGGGGGCCCCCGGGGGGCCCCTCGTGGGGCCCCTCGTGGTGGGGGCCCCCCGGGGGGCTCCCCGGGGGGCCCCCAGGGGGGCCCCCAGGGGGGCCCCCCGAGGGGGCCCCCGGGGGGCCCCCCCTGTCTCTTCTTTCTCTGGGCCTTTCTCTGCTCCACAGCCGCTCAGATGAGGGGCCCCTTTCAGATCGAGAAGGGGCCCCCCGGGGTTCTCTCTCGGGGGCTGGCATTTGAGGGTTTGGGGAGCGAAACCCTAAATTAGGGTTTAGGAGGTCGCGGCTAGGGTTTAGGGTTCGGGGGCTGGGCGCTGCTAATGCAGCCACCCTCTAACGCCCCAATTAAAATACAGTTAAATTTAGAGGCAGGGAAGAAAGAGAGGAAAACGAAACTAGGGTTTAGGGTTTAGGGTTTAGGGTTTAGGGTTTAGGGTTTAGGGGTGACGACAGGGGGCCCTCCTCCCGGTCCTCTCTAGGGCCCCTTACGCAATTGATGGCAACTAAAAAGATATAAAAGAAAATTAACTCTAAACTTCAAACCCTAAACCCTAAACCCTAAACCCTAAACCCTACTGCATGCATAGGGGCCCCCAGGAGGAGTCCCCAGCCACAACCCAAAACCTTTAACGCCTAAACCCTAAACCCAAAACTCTAAACCCTAAACCCTAAACCCTAACTTTTCATGTAAGAGACCATAATAGCTGACATTTAAATAGAAGACTGCAAAGCTGAGCACTACTGCCTAAACCCTAAACCCTAAACCCTAAACCCTAAACCCTAAACCCTTCAACGTCTCGGGGCGGGTGGACCCGAACCGTAGACCTAGTGCACTAAAGCCTAAACGCTAAACCCTAAACCCTAGACCTTAAACGTAAAACCCTAAACCCTAAACCCTAAACCCTCGAATTTCGCCGGAAGCGCTAAACTCCTGGAGCTGCTTCCTGGGCCGGCTCTAAGCCCAGACCCTAAACCCTCATTCAAGAGGGATTTAGGGTTAGGGTTTAGGGTTTAGGGTTTAGGGTTTAGAGTAAGGGTTTGGAGACTAGGGTTTGGGATTAGGGCTTGGAGTTCAAGAGTTTGAAGGGGGTTGGGGTTTAGGGTTTTAGAGTGAGGGTAAGGGTTTAGGGTTTAGGGTCTGGACATTAATGTAAGCGCTTACGAACAGGGTTTAGGGTTTAGGGTTTCGACCTAGGGTTTACGGTTTGGGACTTTTGGTCAGAGTTAGGGTTTAGGGTTTAGGGCTAGGGTCTAGGGTTTAAAATTTAGAGCCTCTGGTCAGGGTTCGGGGGTTTAGGGGTCTAGGGTTTAGGGTTTGGCACTAAGTGTGGACTTTAGAGTCAAGGTCTAGGGTTTAGCGTTTGGAGTTGGGGCCTAGGGTTTAGGGTTTAGGGTTTAGGGTTTCCGGCTAGGGGTTTAGGCCTAAACTTGAAGCTTTTGTGCGGTAGTTTCAACTTAGGGTTTAGGGTTTAGGGTTTAGGGTTTAGGGTTTAGGGTTCGGGCTCCAGCTGAGATGCCCATGCTGGTTGAGATTTAGCTCTGTTTGGTCTAGGGTTTAGGGTTTAGGGTTTAGTGTTTAGTGCTTAGGACTACAGCGCTTTTTCTGTGCAGCTCCCTACAGCAAACCCTAAACCCTAAACCCTAATTTTGTAACGGCAGCAGTCTTATCCCCACGCTGCTTGTCCGTACATCTAGGGTTTAGGGTTTAGGGTTTAGGGTTTAGGGTTTAGGGTTTAGGGTTTCCGTAGTCCTAGACTATTTGATTCTGTTGAGAGGTGATTAAGCAGCCCCTGAATGGTCTTCTAAACCCTAAACCCTCAATCCCTAAACCCCCAAACCCTAAACCCTAAACCCTAAACCCTAGTTTTGCAGCGCCCGCCTCAAGCCGCAGCTAGCAGCTGCCCCCGTTTCTTTGTTTTTATATTCTTAATTACTATTTTCCAAATAAATAAATAAATAAATAATTATTTTATTTATTTTTTTTCAACTAATTTTATTTATTTATTTATTTATTTATTTATTTATTTATTTATTTATTTATTTATTTATTTGTTTGTTTATTTATTTATTCGATAAGTTTTGTTTTCTCCTGAATGGTCGGCAGAGGGCTTTTGCTGCTGCTGCTCGAAAACCCTAAACCCTAAACCCTAGGCCCTAAACCCTAGCCCTTGGCGCTAAACCCTAGGCCCTAAACCCTAGCCCTTAGGCCCTAAACCCTAGGCCCTAAACCCTAGCCGGTAGTCTCTAAACCCTAGCTCTTAGGCCCCTGAGGGTTTCAGGCTCGCTGGTGTGGAGCTAAATATGTTTTATCTGAAGGGTTTAGGGTTTAGGGTTTAGGGTTTAGGGTTTAGGGCTTAGGGTTTAAAGCTGTAGAAAGGATGATGAGCGTGGAAAGAAGACTGGGGGCTGTCTGCACCCTCCAAACCCTAAACCCTAAACCCTAAACCCTAAACTCAACTGCCAGGGGCAAAGATCTGCCCCCCAGAATTCACCTGGCCACGCAACGTTTGGCGCTGAACACATTATTAAGGGTTTAGGGTTTAGGGTTTAGGGTTTAGGGTTTATATGTGTGAAGCTCAACAAAAGCTAAATTATCGGCTTAACTTTCAAGGTTTATATTCGCCGCATTTACGGTACTGCAGATCTCTCGCGCTGCTGCTGCTGTTGCTGCTGCTGCTGCTGCTGCTGCTGTCGCCGCTGCTGCTGCTGCTGCTGCATGCGGGTGATCCGCAGTGTCTGTTGCCTTTTCGTGTATATTTTGTTTAATTGATTTATTTAAAATTCAAAATTGGAAAAAAGAAAAGCCAGAAAGGTCGGAACAAAAGCTGCAGCTGCCGAGACACCTGAAGTGACCCAGGCGGTGGTCGCAGCAGCAGCAGCAGCAGCAGCAGCAGCAACAGCAGCAAACTGCCCGCTGAATTCTCCTAATAAAAGCCTTTATAATCATTAAATAATGTTAATTTACGAAAATTTCACAGCGATTGAGTTGCTGCTGAGCAACAAAGCCTAAAGCTGACGCCGTTTGCAGCAGCAGCAGCAGCAGCAGCAGCAACAGCAGCAGAAACGCCAGGAGCAGCAGCGACAGTAGACGCAACAGCAGCAGCAGCAGCAACAGCAAACGCAACAGGATCGGCGCTGGGTAGACGGCGCTGCCGCTACGGTTGCTGCTGCTGCCTTCGCTGCCGCCGCTGCCGTTGCTGCTGCTGCTGCTCCTTACTTGCTGCTGCTGCTGCTCCTGCTGCTGCTGCTGCTGCTGCTGCGAGAGCGTGTAGCAGGCCATTCATGGCTCGTCTTCAACTGCAGCACCGAGTCAGATTCTGTAGACAAGAACACTGCACACAGCAGCAGCACCAGTAGCAGCAGCAGCAGCAATAGCAGCTGCAGCAGCAGCAGCAGCAGCAGCAGTAATAGCAGCAGCAACTGCAAAGACACTTCGACCCATATGGAGAGATGTCGAGCTTCGAGCAAAACCCAAACGAGTCGGTGCCACCGCGGCTATTGCTGCTGCTGCTCCTGCTGTTGCTGCTGCTGTTGCTGCTGCTGTTGTTGTTGCTGCTGCTGCTGCTGGTGCTTCTCCTGCTGCTACTCTCCCTGCTGCTGCTGCTGCTGCTGCTACTCTCCCTGCTGCTGCTCTTTTGAGTTTCTCGTGGTGCCATCAACTGTTTCTGCGTTTCCCGAGCGAAGCGTGGACATTGCTGCTGCTGCTGCTGCTGCTGCTGCTGCTGCTGCTGCTGCAGCTGTTATTTCCTGCTATTTCTTGCAAAAGTGCTGCTGCTGGATCTAATTTTGCTGCTGCAGTTACTGCTGGTAGAGCTGCCGCTGCTTTTAGTGGGCCTGTTCCTACTGCTGCTGTTACTGCTGCTGCTGCTGCTGCTGCTATTGCTGCTGCTGCTGCTGCTGCTGCTGGTAAAGCTTGCGCTGTTTGCTGCTGTCACTTGTTTAGGGAGGGCTCTACCACTGCCCCTGCTGCTCCTCATCCTTTTGTAGTGCCTCAAACCTCCGCAGATGTGAGCTTAGGGTTTAGGGTTTAGGATTTAGGGTTTAGGGTTTAGGGTTTAGGGTTTAGGGTTTGGGGTTTATCATGTGCTGCCGTGGCGCACTACCATTGGTGGCTTGGCACGCTGCAGGGCGTTTAGGGTTTAGAGTTTAGGGTTTGGGGTTTAGAGTCCCAGCACCATGAAAACCCTAAACCCTAAACCCTAGACCCTAAACCCTAAACCCTAAACCCGAAAAAGCAGCGTGAACCCTTGCTGCTGCATGCATTCAGGCAGCAGCAACAGAGGAGGCCCCTCCTCAGCCCGAGGGGCCCCCCATGTGGGCCCCTGACTTGGGGCCCCTAAACGAGGGGGCCCCCTGGGCAGGGTACTCTGGGGGCCCCCCGGAGGGGGCCCCCCTAGAGGGGGGCCCCCCTGAGGGGGCCCCCCTTGAAGGGGGCCCCCCAGAGGAGAGCCCAGCTGAAGGGGCCCCTCCAGAGGGGGCCCCCCTTGAAGGGGGCCCCTCAGAGGGGGGGCCCCCCTCAGGGGGGCCCCCCTCTAGGGGCCCTTCAGCTGAGCTGGGGGCCCCTCCAGAGGGGCCCCCCTCTAGGGGCCCTTCAGCTGAGCTGGGGGCCCCTCCAGAGGGGCCCCCCGCAGCAGCAGTACCCTCTCGTGAGTCTTCCGGAGAGCCAGGGGGCCCCCAGGGGGCCCCTGCAGCAGCTTCTGACGCGGATGGCCCCCAGGGGGGCCCCCCTGAGGGCTCTATTGGGGGCCCCGAGGGGGGCCCCGAGGGGGGCCCCGAGGGGGGCCCCCCTGGGGGCCCCCTTAGGGGCCCCCAAAGGGCCTCAGGCACATTTGATAATACAATTCGGCATTCCCCAGGAGGGTCTGGGAGTTGGGGGCCCCCGGGGGGCCCCCAGGGGGCCCCCGGGGGCCCCCAAAGAAGCACTTCTGGGGGCCTCGAGGGGCCCCGAAGGAGTACCTCTGGGGGCCCCCAGGGGCCCCTCCTAAGGAGTACCTCTGGGGGCCCCCAGGGGCCCCCAAGGGGTACCTCGGGGGGCCCCGAGGGGCCCCTCGACCTCGAGGGGGGCCCCCCGGAAATTGAAAAAGAAACAATTCGGAGAAAGAGCAGCAAGGGGGCCCACTTTGCGGACTACCCTGTGGAGGAGCCCCCAGCAGCAGCAGCAGCAGCAGCAGCAGCAGCAGCAGCAGCAGCAGCAGAACATGAAGCAGCAGCACCAAAGACTGTCAAGGTTTTAATTGATGAGGGTTTTTATGCCGACAAAAATGAAGAGCAGCAAAACAGAAGGAGTCTTCGCATTCCCAACTTTCTCGCCGAACAAGCTTTAACAACTGGCACGCAGGGTTTAGGGTTTAGGGTTTAGGGTTTAGGGTTTAGGGTTTAGGGTTTAGGGTGTAGGGTTTAGGGTTCGTGAGGAGTCAGGATATATGCGTGTGTTGACTTCCTGCTCACGGCGACGGAGGCTTCGGATTCAAGGGTCTAGGGTTTAGGGTTTAGGGTTTAGGGTTTAGGGTTTAGCGTTAAGGGTTGAGTTTAGGGTTTAGGGTTTAGGGTGCAAGGTTTATTGCTTGGGGTACTAAGTCCAGGGCTAAGAGCTCAGGGCTTAGGGTTTAGGGCCTACAATTTAGGGCTTCGGGCCTAGGGTTTAGGGTTTAGGGTTTAGGGTTTAGGGTTTGCGTGCAGAGGACGAGGGTTTTCGGAAGGAGAAGATGGAAGTGGTTTCCTTTTCCGCAGGAAGAGTTCTTGATGCTGCAACAATTAAAAAAGAAAATTTAAAAATAAAAAAAGAAATTAAATTCATTCCCGAAGAAACCGCCAAGGCCTACATCACTCGCCTCGTTTCCGAGATGGACAAACTCAAAAAACAGGCCCGCAAACCCTAAACCCTAAACCCTAAACCCTAAACCCTGAACCCTAGTACGTGCTGGGCTTTAAGGGGTGGGGCCTACATCACTCGCCTCGTTTCCGAGATGGACAAACTCAAAAAACAGGCCCGCAAACCCTAAACCCTAAACCCTAAACCCTAAACCCTAAACCCTAGTACGTGCTGGGTTGTGAGGGGTGGGGCCTACATCACTCGCCTCGTTTCCGAGATGCACAAACTCAAAAAACAGGCCCGCAAACCCTAAACCCTAAACCCTAAACCCTAAACCCTAAACCCTAAACCCTAGTACGTGCCGGGTTGTAAGGGGTGGGGCCTACATCACTCGCCTCGTTTCCGAGATGGACAAACTCAAAAAACAGGCCCGCAAACCCTAAACCCTAAACCCTAAACCCTAAACCCTAAACCCTAAACCCTAAGCCCTAGTACGTGGTGGGTTGTAAGGGGTGGGGCCTACATCACTCGCCTCGTTTCCGAGATGGACAAACTCAAAAAACAGGCCCGCAAACCCTAAACCCTAAACCCTAAACCCTAAACCCTAAACCCTAAGCCCTAGTACTTGCTGGGTTGTGAGGGGTGGGGCCTACATCACTCGTCTCGTTTCCGAGATGGACAAACCCGCAAACCCTAAACCCTAAACCCTAAACCCTAAACCCTAAACGCTAAACCCTAAGTGTTGCAAAGTCGTGCGGAGGGTTTCACGCCAAGCTGTTGCTCAAGGCCTGGGAGCAGCTGCTGCAGAAGGCGCAGCTACGAGCTAGGGTTTAGGGTTCGCTATTCAGGGTTTAGGGTTTAGGGTTTAGGGTTTAGGGTTTAGGGTTTAGGGTTTGTGCGCAGCAAGTGACCACCCTGCAGGAGATGGAGTGGCACTTCCGAATGATAGAAAACGCCACTCGCAAACGAGCTCAAAAACAAGCAAGAAACCCTAAACCCTAAACCCTAAACCCTAAACCCTAAACCCTAGCTTACAGAAAACAGGGGTTTCGCTGCCCTTTCTCCGCTGCTGCATCTCCTGGCTACGCGGGCGGAGGCGGCTGCGCGTCCGGCAGGCCCACGCTTGAGGGTTTAGGGTTTAGGGTTTAGGGTTTAGGGTTTAGGGTTTAGGGTTTAGGGTTTGCAGGTGGAGAACATCCGCGGGGTGGCAATTGGGAAGTGCACCATGCTGCTGAAGAAACTGCAAACCACCAAATCCAAGTTGGAGTATTTCGAAAAAGAAAATAAAGAACTTCACAACTCTTTTGAAGAAAGAGTTCGGGAGTTCAAAGAACAAATGCCCAAAACCATGCAGGAACTCGACGGTCCAAACCCTAAACCCTAAACCCTAAACCCTAAACCCTAAACCCTAAACCCTAGGCCCTGGAGGCCCGAGAGCTGGGGCCTCGCGCGGTCTCGGGCTTTCGCGGGTTTGCTGCTGGCTGCTGCTCGAGGGTTTGCTGCTGGCGCCCGCTTTGAGCGCGCAGCCCCCTAGGGTTTAGGGTTTAGGGTTTAGGGTTTAGGGTTTAGGGTTTGTGCAGCTCAGTGGCACGAGCGGATGGAAGAACTGCGGGGAGTTATTTTAAACAGCCAAACTGAAATTGAAAGTTTGAGGGAGCAGCAAGATGAGCTGCTGCAGCAGCTAACTGAGCTGCTGCAGCTGCTGGGGGCGGCCCCTGCGGACAGCAGCAGCAGCAGCAGCAGGCTGCAGGAGCTGCTGCAGCAGTTTGCTGCTGCTCTCCGCAGCAAACTGCAGCAGCACACTGCAGCAGAAATTAAGTCGACAGTCAGCTTATTGGTGGAGAGAGTGACTGTCATGACACTGGAAAAACAATTAAAAAAGACGGAAGCAGAAGGACAAGCTGCTGCTGCTGCTGCTGCTGCTGCTGCTGCTGCTGCTGCTGCGTACAACCCCAGCCCAGCAGCAGCAGCAACAGACAGCAGCAGCCTGCAGCAGGAGCTCATGAGGTCCCACGCAGAAAATGCGGCGCTCAAGGCGCAGCTAGCAGCAAACGCAGCCCCTGCAGCCTTTGTAAACCCTAAACCCTAAACCCTAAACCCTAAACCCTAATTTCGAAACCCTCAAATCTAGCCCTGAGCTGAACTGCTCAAGCACTTCCTCCACATGATCGTTTGCCACTCTTCGAGCCTAGGGTTTAGGGTTTAGGGTCCGCATTTAGGGTTGAGGCTTCAGGGTTTAGGGTTTAGGGTTTAGGGTTTGGGCTTCAGGCTGCATCTTCTGCTCGCCGCAGTCCAGCGGGGTCTGCTCCAGCTGCATTAGGGTTTAGAGTTTAGGGTTAAGGGTTTAGGGTTTAGGGTTAAGGGTTTAGGGTTTAGGGTTTGCATGCAGAGTGGCGGTCCTATCGATCGGGAGTTGGCTGAAGAAGAGCTGCAGCAGCAGCGAGGGTTTAGAGAGCTGCAAGAAACAGCAGCAAAACTTTCTGCTCAAGTGGAGGCCTTGAAGGAAGAAAATGATAATGTAAACGAGGGTTTAGGGTTTAGGGTTTAGGGTTTAGGGTTTAGGGTTTATATCTAGGGGCAACGGTAAAGGCCCACGGGTCGGGGTCCAGCGGTTCGAGTGCAGGGCTCGAAATCTAAAGCCCCGGGGCACGGGCGTAGGGTTTAGGGTTTAGGGTTTAGGGTTTAGGGCCTAGGGTTTAGGGTTTAGCGTTCGGGATTTTAATTGTTCTGCAGCTTCAAATGACGATCGTCAATATGGAGGAAGCAGCGAAAAAAGGCAAGCAGCGGATGTGGTTGAGGGTTTAGGGTTTAGGGTTTAGGGTTTAGGGTTTAGGGTTTAGGGTTTAGGGTTTAGAGTTTAGGGTTTGCAGGCACGCCAGGGGGAAAACCTGCTGCTGGCGCTGGTGGAGGCGCAGCTGCTCAAATGCTGCAGCAGGCAAAAGAGAAGAACAGACAAGTGAAAATCCTAAACCCTAAACCCTAAACCCTAATTCCCAAACCCCAAACCCTAAACCCTAAACCCTAAACCCTAATCTTAGGCTAGCAGGAACTGAGGCCAGCCTTGAGCGTGCTGCTGCTTTAAAAGTAAATTAAATTTTTTTTTTTAATATGCAAATAATTTTTATTTTCTATTTTTGAATTAATTGATTTGTATTTTTGGACTTTTTAATTAAATTAAATTTATATTTGAGAAATAAATGTTTTCAAACGTGGCCCAATTCAAGGCAGTGCCAAGGCCTCATAAATAGATTAATAAATATATAAATTAATTTATTTAAATTAAATCAAATTAAATTAAGTGAATTAATAAATAAACAAGTAAATAAAGTAAACAAATAAATAAGTAAATGAACAAATAAATGAATAAATAAATAAGTAAATAATGTACAAATAACAACACCAGTCATAGTAAACAAAGAAATAAATAATTGTAAGGAAAATGACACTAATAACAACAGTGCTAATAATGGTAATAATGATGGCGATAATAATGACTGATAATAACAGCAATAATAATGATTTTTATTGTTATAACAAGAATAATAAAAAAAAAAAATAACAATAATGATAAGTGATGATAATAACAATAAAATAATGGTAACAACAAAAATAATAGCAATAATAATAATAACAACAAGAATAATAATAAAGATTAATAATAATAATAATGATAATAATAATAATAATAATAATAATAAAGATTAATAATAATAACAATAATAATAATAATAATAACAATAATAATAATAGCAATAATAATAATAATAATAACAATAATAATAATAACAATAATAATAATAATAATAATAATAATAGTTTTGTTTCTGCTGCAGCTGGAGCAGCAGCTGCAAACGCTGCAGAAACGGCTAGAGCAGCACCAGGGGGGCCCCCGGGGGGCCCCCGGTGCTGCTGCTGCAGCAGCAGAGCAGGCGCAGCAAATAAAACAATTGGAATTAAAATTAAAAGAAGCAGAAGCCAACAAAAACCGAGAACTGAAGCAACTGGAACAAGAAATGAACAAAAGTTCGAAAGTGAGTTGGCCGCGGCAGCAGCTGTCTGTACACCCCGCCAGCAGCTGCCTGTACACCGCGGCCAGCAGCTGTCTGTACACCCCAGCGCCTTGCGACTTTGCGCAAAGTGGAAAATTCGTTTCGAAGTTTTTCTCGATTTTCGCAGTTTAAAAGCAAATTAATGTTTCCTTTTTTCAAATAATTACTTTATTTGCAAAGTTTTGCTTCTTTGTTCCGCCAAATGCTCTCAAAATCCAAAATATGTTTTCAAAATTCTTCTTTTTTCACTTCTAAATATCTGCACACGTTTACGTGCACGCGTCTCCGAACGAGGCAAATGAGTTTATATATATTTACGCACAAATGTATACTTCAAACATATAAGTATATATACTTTTATATATATATATATATTATATATATATATATATATATATATATATATATATATATATATATATATATATATATATATATATATATGTATTCTATATATATCTAAACGAATATGAATATAAATATAATATGATATATACATTCGATATATTTGTAAATATATATAAACTTTTATTAGAGCGACACATACAATTTGAAATGCAAATAAATGCATGCACTGTGTATGTACACCTGGAATATGTTTATGTACACATAAATGTATTTACTGATACACTTCATATATATTTATTTATATTTATTTATATATATAATAAATAAATATTTATATTTTATAATGCGCAAATAGATCTGAATAGATTCAAAAACAAATGTATTTATAAATGTTCCAATTAAATCTAATTAAGTGCAAAAATAAAAAAATAATTATGTTTAAAAGAACGCCAAATATATCTGCGCACGTGCAGTGAGCTGTATGTACACCTGAGTGCATGCATGCAAATGCGCATTTTCACGAATACACCTGAAACAAAAATATAAATAAAGATAAATGCAAATTTAATTTTTAATTTATAAAAATATGTTTGTTTTCAAAAAAACAAACATTTGCAATAAATCCCACTTTGTTTGTAAATGCATTCAAATGCAATTTTGTGGCGCCCAA